AAAAAAAAAAAAATAAAGAAGAAAAAAACCTGCAACAATTCATGGAATCAACGTAAACCAACTTGTTCTGAAAATAAACAATAAAATGAATGAACAAGAAGAAAGACAAGTAGTAAGGGTGGGAGAGAGGAGGGAGGGAGGGAGGGATTGGTACTTCATCTTATTCGATGAAGAAAACACGCATTTAAATTCCAACTTGGTCGTACCCGCACAAACCGCATCCTCATCTCTTGACGTCCCCAACTTGATTTGAATCGTATAGTCCTTGCTTTTTCACCGGTTGCTGCTATCAATCGCAACGAGAGTAACGTCATACCTTGGAGACCACGAGTATGGTAGAGAACAATGCTCGTTTTAAACAACATCTCTGTATTTTATGTATATATTTTGTACTACAGATTTCTTCCCGCTGAGAATCGAGTCCCACTGTCGTTGAACACCACAGATGTGTCCCCCTTCTTCTCATCTTCCAATCTCTTAGACTCCCCTCAAGTCTTTCCCAAGTCCCTTAACCAGCCCTTCAGTATCCCCACCCACCTACCCACCTTTTCTTCCTTCCCTTCTTACTCTTTTCCCGTTCAAACCGACTTCGATAAATCCAATGCAAGTACCCTTTTTCGTTCATGCACTTTCGATGCTGAACATCGATCCCAGATCGAAAGGTTTGTTCGATAAAACAACCTATCCTTGTACCCCTCCCACCCTAACCTAACTCTTTCTTCTACATACTTATTCTTTTTACTCTTTACTCAAGTACCACCCGATGCAATACTCCCGCATTCTCTTACAGAGTGACAGCATAATCGAAACGGTACCGGTGGCATTGGCTACTTTAAGAAGCCGTATAGTAACCACGAGGGAGAACATCTTGGATACGGAAGGAACTAGTTTTTCTTAGGCAACTAAGTCTTCAGACTCTATCATCTAATGTTTTTCTTACATTATATAGTAGATTTACGTGGTATAAAGATCGTTCGTATTTATTTTTCGATTTATTACAGTTTTGTTTTAATCCTTTTTTATTGCTGTTGTTTTATTTTTAATTATTCACTGAAAATATATATATATATATATATAT